CTGAAATAGTTTTTTAAATCGACTTGAGTGAAACCAGCATAACTTTTACATGTAGACGAGCCCTGAGAAAGGGAAGTGGGGATAGCCAGCCATCAGCTGCCTGCCTACTCCCCACGAAATGGGTCAAATGAGAGAGAACCAGGAGGATTTCAGTAGCAAGGGAAATAGAGTTGTTGGAGTGGAGAGAGGTGGTCATTTCCCACTGGGTCTTGGTTTCCCTTGGTTCTGGGAATATACACACAGATCGGACTCGACTAATGATCTCTGAGTACAGTACAAAGACATGGACCACAAGGGCTCAATCCTGTAAGGTGCTCAGTGCTCTGGCCCCAATCCAACAAAGCACTTAGGCATGTGCTTAACTTGGAACATGTAAGTAGTTCCATTGACTTAGATGGGGCCAGTCACATGCCTACAGTTAAGCATGTGCCTCAGCGCTTTGCTGGATCGGCGTCAGAGTGTTCAGCATCTTACAGGATGACGCCCTACTAGATTTAACATGCTGGTGCCTTAGGATGTGTGCTTTGTGTGGTACAGTACAATGTTGGGCTCCAGACGGGGAGTGAATGAAATCAAATACCAGTTTTGGAGAGAGAGCAGTTTATTAAAGGTAGCACTGCACTCTGCTAGTGCTGTTTTCATTCAGATGGTGTCTATTAGCTATGTGAACAGTCAGCTCAGTCCTGCTTTGTGCGAAATTGGCTACCAAGGGTCTTGTTTCAAAGCCTGTTTTGTGTTCCTGTGGTAGCATATTTCAGGACAGTATTACAGACAATAGTGCCCCAGCTGCCACGCTTTGGCACATGTTCGGGTTTGTCTGGTATTCTCTCTCCCCCCCGACCCACACACACACACACCCCCCTCGCCCCCGTTGCATCTGAGGACATAAAAGGGCCTGATTTTCAGAGGTGCTGAGAACCGTCAGCTCCCATTGACTTGAGGGATTGAGGGTGCTCAGTACTTTTTGGGATTCTCCATCGCTGACCGTTTTTAAATCAAGATTGGATCTGTTTCTAAAAGATCTGCTCTAGGAATTGTTTTGGGGAAGTTCTATGGCCTTTGTTATACTGGAGGTCAGACTAGATGATCACAGTTGTCCTCTCTGGCCTTGGAATCTGTGAATCTTATGAAAACTAAGCCCCTGATTTTCAAATGTCACTTTCAAACACTATGGTTCTGTCTGTACTGTGATAAAAAACTTGTGGCACCGAGTCCCAGAGACTGGGTCAGCTTGCTCAGACTGTGGAGCTAAAATAGGAGTGTAAACATTTGGGCTTGGGCTGGAGCCTGGGCTCTGAGACCCTCCCCGCACATGAGGTCTCAGAGTCTGGGCTTCACCCCAAGCCCAAATGGTAATTGGGATAAAATACAGCATGGTTTTACAAAAGGTAGATCGTGCCAGACCAATGTAAACTCCTTCTTTGAGAAGAAAACTGATTTTTTTAGACAAAGGAAATGCAGTAGATCTAATCTACTTGGATTTCAGTAAGGCATTTGATACAGTTCCACATAAGAAATTATTAGTTAAATTGGAGAAGATGGGGATTAATATGAGAATTGAAAGGTGGATAAGGAATTGGTTAAAAGGGGAGACTACAATGGGTCATGCTGAAAGGTGAACTGTCAGGCTGGAGGGAGGGTACTAGTGGAGTTCCTCAGGGATCGGTCTTGGGACCAATCTTATTTAACATTTTTATAATGAGCTTGGCACAAAAAGTGGGAGTGTGCTAATAAAATTATGACACAAAGTTGGGAGGTATTGCCAATATTGAGGAGAGACGGAATACCATACAAGAAGATCTGGATGACCTTGAAAACTGAGTAATAGAAATGGGGTGAAATTTAACAGTGCAAAGTGCAAGGTCATGCACTTAGCAACTAACAACAAGAACTTTTGCTATAAGCTGAGGACTTATCATTAGGAAGTGACAGAGGAGGAGAAAGACCTGGGTGTATTGGTTGATCACAGGATGACTATGAGCTGCCACTGTGATGCGGATGTGAAAAAGGCTAATGCACTCCTAGGATGCATCAGGCAAAGTATTTCCAGTAGAGACAGAGAAGTCTTAATACCATTCTACAAAGAACTAGTAAGACCTCATCTGGAGTACTGTGTGCAATTCTGGTCTCCCATGTTTAAGAAAGATTAATTCGAACTGGAACAGGTACAGAGAAGGGCTAGTAGGATGACCCAAGGAGTGGAAAACCTACCTAATGAGAGGAGACTCAAAGAGCTTGGCTTGTTTAGCCTAACCAAAAGAAGGCTATGGGGAGATATGATTGCTCCCTATAAATGCACCAGAGGGATAAATATCAGGGAGGGGAGAGGAATTATTTAAGTTAAGCACCAGTATGGACACAAGAACAAACAGATATAAACTGGCCATCAATAAATTTAGGCTTGAAATTAGGTGAAGGTTTCTAACCATCAGAGGAACAAATTTCTGTACCAGCCTTCCAAGGGGATCTGTGGCGGCAAAAACCTAACTGGCTTCAAGACTGAGCTTGATAAATTTATGGAGGGGATTGTATGAGAAGACTGACTACAATGGCATGTAGCCGATCTGCAACTGCTAGCCGCAAATATCTCCAGTGGCCGGTGATGGGATACTAGATGGGGAGGGCTCTTTCGCAGGGTGTCTGGCTGGTGGGTCTTGCCCACATGCTCAGGATCTAACTGATCACCATATTTACAGTCTGGAAGGAATTTTCCTCCAGGTCAGATTGGCAGAGATGCTGGGGGGAAGGGAGGTTTGCCTTCCTGTGCAGTATGGGGCATGGGTCACTTGCAGGTTTAAACTAGTGTAAATGGTGGATTCTCTGTAACTTGAAGTCTTTAAATCATGATTTGAGGATTTCAGTAACTCAGCCAGAGGTTAGGGGTCTACTACAGGAGTGGGTGGGTGAGGTTCAGTGGCCTACAATTTGCAGGAGGTCAGACTAGAGGATCACAATGGTCCCTTCTGACTTTAAAGTCTGAGTCTCTGCTGCAATTTGATATCTCTGCAGCCTGAGCCCACGAGCCAGAGTAGGCTGACCTGGGCCAGCCACGGCCATGCCAGGGGTCTTTTATTGCAGTGTAAACATACTCTACTGGTCTTAAGAGAACTGGGAATGTTATTAATTGTATTGCGGTAGTGTCTAAGAACCCCAGTCGTGGATCAGCGTCTCATGCTTGGGAGGAGCTCCCCATAAACATGCGGAAAGCTACTTCCCTATTCTCCTTCAAATGCCTCCTTAAAATTCTCCTTTGCTGTGATATGTTAGGCCACTGGTGTGCTGTCTATCATGCTGACCAATATTGTCTTGTTTCCTTGTGCTCCTCCGGCTGTCTGTATCCATCTGTTGTCTCTTGTCTTATAAGTGATGAGCTACATAAATGATCTTTCCAACAGCATTATCATTTGTCTCATTCCTGGTAATCACTGGACAGTGGAAGGGCTCTTTCCTCCAAATAATAACGTATACACTTTTGCAACATGGAGATCGGAAGGAAGAGCTGACTGATCAATAACATGCATGTTCCTTTACTTGGACACGCTTTTGAACCCTTTTAATTTTTTATGGTCTTGTGGTTTTTTTGGGGGTTTTTTTAACCTTCTGTTTATCAGAATTAACATGAACAGAAACTTTTGTGATCAGATTTTTAGCAGCTGCACATCCTCTTTCAGTGTATCCCCTTACTGAGTTCGTCTCGAATTACATGCACAACTCCTGCACTTCACGGCTTGGCGTGAATATCAAGCAACTCTTAATCTCTACTAGGAGAGTTCATGTTTTCCCGTATGCTGCCTACCGTTAAAGATAGTGGCAGATAAAGAATAAACTGAAGGGCACAGCTAATCTAGACCCAGGCTACTGTCCGCGATCACAGCTATATTCTACTGAAGCGTGGGGGTGACAAGGCTGTTTAAGCCACTGGCCTATTGCTGTGAAGCTCTCTCCTGAATTAGAACTTCCATGAATCTGGCAGTCTTCAGATCACAATGGAAAACTTGCTGCTTTGAATGTAACCTTCCCAAAATAAAAACAAATTAAACTGAAAGGGGTTGAATTTTGATGGGAAGATTTTTGTGGAGGAAGATGGTGATCTGGAAGGCCCTCGGTTTCCAGGCTAATGAGTGTGGCATAAGAGAGAGAATGGATGAAATAGATTCCATGGAAGGCTGTTGGGCAAATATCAAACAATTAGGAGACAAGCTTTGAGCACATCTAAGTCACATGATGCCCCAGATGGGTCACTGGAAGTGGGGTTTGAACATGGGACCTATGAATCTAAAAGAAGGAGTCTCTACTGCCTGAAATGAAAGACCTGGGTCTATTTATCTCAAAGGCTGTTGCAGACCTATAAACCTCTGTGGACCAGCCATTAGAGGGGGGCAGAGAGCCACACTGTGTAAGAGAAGGTTACAGCTATTTCCTGTCGCTGCTGGCACCTGTTCAGCTGCATCAGTGATGGGAGCCCTCGTGTATACCAGATTGCAGTAGCTTGAGGCATTTTTACCACTACGATGTCAGTTAAACCTGCTGAAGAGCAGGTGTGAATAACGTGGTGGAACAGTAGTGTCTGGCAGCTGGAGCTTTGTCTGTCCTGAGCATTGTGATGTGCCAGCACGTCTCTGAGACCCTGATCTGTTTCTTCAGTGTTAGCTCTCGTTTACTAAGAAAAACGTGTCTAGCACTAATGTGGATGGCAAAACCCATCCAAATGCCATATGTTATCTGAATGAGGCTGACTCAGTAACAAAGAAGTGGGAACTGCCTCACTTAGCACAGTGTGTTAACTCTGAAGCATAATGATGGCAATTTTAAATGACAGTGCTGATAAACTGATCAGCAGTGAAACAGTTAACAGAAACATCCCAGCTACCCTGGGATTGTGGGAGGAAAATGGGATTGTAGGTGGAGCTTGGATAGAGTGTACCCATCTCTGCTCCCAGTCCAAAATCTGCTGTCTTACCTTGTGTCTAAACTGCATCTTGTTTCTTATTGCATTGCAGTGCATTTACACAGGTGTTCGCCTTCGGCCCAACCTTTCGAGCCGAGAACTCTCAAAGTCGCCGGCACCTGGCAGAGTTCTACATGGTAGAAGCAGAGATGTCTTTTACTGAAAGCCTCCAGGACATCATTCAGGTAGGTACCCGTTTGTGTGTGATTTTAAAGGTATTGGAGCTTTCTCCTCCATTCACTGTGGTCGGCCTCAGGGGCAGTGGAATTGAACCTCCTATCACCTACTGTAATCTTTCTAGATAAATCAGGAGTTGTGTTGAAGACCGCTAAGCATTTAAGGTCTCTTTGGGCAGAGGAATGGCCACTGGGGGGAAATGAGGAAGGATTTGAGAAAAGGGCTGATCCAGTGTGCTCTGTGTGAGCCATTGGCCAAACAGAGATTTCTACGACGTGCTCCAGGACTGTGCTCATTTTTAATACAAAGGAATAACCTGCAGAGATTACTATTCCCAGCATGTAATATTCCACCTTGATTTTAGCAGAAGGCTGGAACATGTAATCACTGCTGGTCTTACCTGCGTACTAAAGCTGAGATGAGAGCCATTTTGCACAAACAGATGCCACCCTCTGGCTCTCAGAAAGCACAGTTTACACATCGCGGTCCTAGTTGTTCTGAGGACCCCACCTCCTGGGGCTTGTGGGGAAGAGTCAGTCCAGAGGAAATAGAGAATTAGAATCTTTCAGAATTTCTCAGGTTCTACAATTCAAAAATAATTCAAAGTTCTGAAAGGTTTGTGGGTTTTGCTCTGATTAGGGGGGAGGAAAGAACTTTGCCCCTTTGGCTTTGAGAAGTTTTGTTGTTGTTGTTGTTGTTGTTAAAGGTCTTGCAAAATCTTAATTTCTCTGGGTTCTCCCCTCCCCCCTCAATCTCTGACCACCATCATCAGCTGTGCGAGAAATTCTTCTTCCTATCACAGTGGTTTATTCTACAGGTCACATTCTGGATTGCAAAATACTTATTCTTGTGATGTTTTTATTTAAAGAAGTAGAGTTCCTGTTTCTTGAAATCACTGGGCAAGCCATTAACAAATATCTGACAGCTGCATTAAGGCCTCAATTAAGTTTCTGTTTCTCCATAAGTCTTTAGAGAAACTGATCTAAATTCAACACCCTTGCATGGCTCAGTGCACTGTGCGGCTTTTCTGTTGAAAGTTTGTTCACTGAGTTTAGTGCTTTACAAAGGGTGCCCCGTTGAAAGCCCTGGCGACTAATGGCCAAATTTGCATGCATGGGTGTTTCAAGTGAGGTTTCTAAATCCATGTCTTGGTACCAAAATACAAACAGCCTGATTTTTCCAAAGTGTGGACTACCTGAACCTCCCATTAACACCAGTGGGGAGTTTTGTGTGCTCAGATCAAGGCATTTGTTTAAGGGCGTAAACATGAATACACAAGCCTTACTTCAGGCTCCCGCATGTGAAAATTTTGGCCTAAGTCCTGACACTGCCCTGCTGCCATTGAGGCTGACCTCTTATCCAGATGGGCTACGTGTGTGTTTGTAAGAAAAGTTCAGGATCTCTGCCCGTTCTGTCCTTGACCTCTTTGATACAAGTAACAAGGGGTAGTTATTTCCAGCACAGGAGTGGTGGCTTTGGAGCTGTAGACGCCTGCCCACTAGGAAACAGACTGAGATGGCAAAACTTAGTTTGCATAGATCACTGATAGCTCATACCACTTATCATTCAGTATCACCCAGGATGTGATCGGTTTTTTTACTGTCATCCTAAAATGAAAGGTACTGTGTTGCATTACACAGTCCCCAGAGCCATCCCACAATGTGGCCAGCTCTTGTGATTTTTATCCCCCGTCTTGTGGTACTCATTGTCTTTTCGCAAAGCCCCAGCTGCGGGAGTCATATGATTACATGAGACTCTCAGCAAAAGAAACTGTGCCTGTGAGAGCACACTGCCCTCCAGCACCTGGCATGGAGCTCAAGGTCCATGAGTCCTCAGTTCCCCTGCTGGTGCAAAGCATCACTGGTAAAGCATCCCATCCTCCGCTAGTGCTGGTCCACATAGGCGATTACAACCTACTACTGCTGTCAGTTACTCCATTAACTCAAGTGGCAGAGGTCTATGCAGTGTATCTAAAGGTTCCAACCCTGCTGATGACCCATGTGGGTGTTAATATGATACCACATGATGGAATATTTCAGTGTGTTTTCATAAAATCTGACTCAATTGCACACACAAAAACTACATTAAAAGAACATTATTAGGGTTGCAAAGTCAAACACTCATTAATTAGGAAATAAGGTTGCCTGTGCAACCTTAATTTAACCCGCTTGTGCATATGCATTATGATACAGTCTTTAATTACATGGTCACATAATATTTTCCCACAGGACCCCTGCCTCATTCTCAGTGCACGTGGTGGCTGGTGCTCTGGGAGTGAATCGGTGCTATATAGTAGGGGAGACTGTTATTTGCCTCATTTGTTACTGAAGTCAGAAGGTGCATGGTGAATGAGACAGGGCATTGCAGGAACAGAAAGGACACTCTTGTAGTTAAGGCAACTGAGTGCTGCCCTGAAGAATTAGATTCAATTCCTGCCTCTGCAACAGAGTTTCCGTGAGATGCTAGACAAACCACTTCAACCACACTTTTCACAGGTGGTCCCTAATTCTGTGTTCTTTGTTTTCTGGGTGCCCAGCTTGAGACACCTGGGGTCTGATATGTAGAAGTGCAGAACACTCACAGCTGCAATTGAAGTCAATGGGAGCTGTGCTTTGAACAAATAAAGTGATATGTTATGCTAAGTACACTGAAAAATCATAACCTAGGTATCTCAAATTGGGCACCCAAAATTAGTGGATACTTTTGATCTTAAGCTCTATGTGCCTCAGTTCCCCATCTGTAAAATGGGGGTGGTAATACACCTCTCCTCACAAGGGGTGTAGTGATAATTAATGTTTGTGAAGTACTCAGATAACATAATGATGAGCATCATAGATAAGCCCTGGAGGAAATTAATAATTCTGTCTTCAGGGCAGGGTTTGAATAGTGTGTAGTAAATAAGGCTGCAGCCTAGGAGAAAACAAACTATTAAATAGCTCCTCATTAAGTGAGCACTGTTCATCCTGTGCACTTAATGAGGCAGAGGTCTTGTAGAAAAAAATAGTATGTAATGATGTAATTAAAGATCATCATGCATATGCACAAGGGGGCTGAGTTAAAGTTGCATGGGCCAACTTTAATTTGGGCACTTCTTAACTTGATTGCTTGACTTTGCAACCTTAATAATGTGCTTTTAATGTAAGTTTTGTGTTTGTCATTAGGAAATAGGTCATTGTCAACACAATGGGAAATATTTTCTTTGCAGCTGTTTCACTGACAAATTATTTCTGTTGGTCCGTTGGAGCAATTGTTTCTTGAGGCAAACATTTCCTGTACAAAAATGGTGAGAGAGCTCCTCTGGGATCCCAGAGTTGGTTTCTGGGATGATGTGTTTGCCTACGAGAGTGTTCAGTTACATCATTCACTTGCAACAGACCAATGTAGACAGCCAGTTGACACCGCTGACTGTTCTGTTGTGACACACCGTGAGCACAGCCCTTGTTCTCTAGAAATTTAGCTCCTTACACGACAGCTATGCACACAGCAGGGGTGAGTGAGTATCTGACATGAGTCTCACCATTTTGTGTGAGCAAGCATGAAGAGGAGAGGAATATCAGTGCATGAAAACTCGGGTGAATCATGACAAGTGCATGACATTGCTTGAACATGTAGCAACCTGCAATCGACTGAAGACTACATCATCGTCATTGGGCACGATTCAGGGTGAACGTGTAGACAAATAATCCCATGCGGGAGTGTATCAGTGATTGTGCCTTATGCTGACAGCAGAGATGCTTACACATTCTCCTCCACTGCACAGCAGCCTGTTGTCTCAAACCTCCAATTTTGTTGCAAATACAGTGCTGCTTTGTTGATATATCTACAGTTTTCACTTCAAGTGTAGTCTTAGATTGGGGATATCGAAAGTCACAAGCAGAGTACCACAAAGTTAAGGTCTGAGCTCAGAATCCCAATTGGAGACCTTCAAGAAGTCCTCCAGCAAAATCAGGGAAGGCCTGCTGAGACTTTTAAAGTTTAAAAAGAAAAAAGCAGGAACAAAATTTGGGGTGGAGGATGGGAAAATTACACCACCACCCCGCTGCTCCCTCCCCAGCTTTTATGCCATCTTTATTAAGAAATAAATAAAGGGAACAGACAACAAAATTTTCCTTTGCAGGTCACACTTCTTCCAGGAGGCCTATAAACCTGGCCCCTCCAGTCCATCCCATCACCAAACTACTAACAGAAATGAAATTAACAAGGCATTGGTTCCACTCCTCCACTTGCTTTTGTGATATCCTATTTCCCATCCCTCCATCTTGTCCTGTTAAAATTGTAACCTTGTTGGTATGTCTTTACTGCAAAGGAAGCAGCATGAGTAGGCATGCTGGCTTGAATCTATCTAGCATGAGTAACAACAGTAGTGTATACATGGTGGCACGGGCTTCACTATGGGCTAGCAACCTATGTATGCTCTCAGGGTCACCGACGGGCTTGTGGCTGGGGTTGCTAGCTCATGCTACCATGTCTTGGCTACCGTTGTTACCTGTGCTAACTGGTTTAAAGCAAGCACAGGGTATGCCTACCTGTGTTACAATCACACCTTCACTTTGCTGTGAAGACATGCCCCTTTGGGGCAGAGATCTTTCATCTTGATTTTGCCTTATCAAGTACCTTGGCAGTGCATATATAAATAAGAGTAACTGCAGTCCGGAAGAGACAAAGGGTGAACCATATGGTTTTGGTTTTGCCAACATATAACCTCAATCTCAAGCTTGGAAATATTTCTCAGCTTGTTTTTTCCCAGACCACCCAGTTTTTTTCCCGCAAGAAGCAAGCTGCATATGTTGGATGCTGTGGGAACCTGATTCTTACTTTAGCACAAAGCAAAAACAAAAAATAGTCCTACTTAAACAACATAAAAGTTTTGGTTTCATGCACCAGATGGTACTTTCATTTCCTAGAAAGAGGAAGCTTAATGTAAAATCCCTTCCTCGCTGCCTGTTTGAAACTGGGCTGTTGTAATTATCAATGAATTTTCCTAATTTCATTCGCATGAGTCTTTTTC